AAATCAAGTTATATGAAACAAAAAGTACTTAGTTTGAATTTAATCTGATTATGGATAATCAATGGATTAAACTATTAAGATAGATAAAATGTATTTTGAAATGAAATTAAAAATTACTATGTCATATAAAAACGAGCTTACAAAAGTATATATAATTCATAAGACATGTAATTTATAAAGCGAAAACTTTGTGTAAATTTGAATTTGTATTTGTTAATTTCTACTCAGTCTCCATCTACTTCTGTCTATTCAAATCCCAAGCAGCGCTCTCCAATTTTGGTGGAATCCTTTCCCAATAGATGTCAGCAATGATGAGTAAATAAACCAATATTCTTAAATTATACAATACATTAATATTTACATTTGAAATCCGAGTTAATTAGTATCAATTAATAATTAAATTCGTTTTGCAGCCAGATCCATAAACCGAAAACCTTCAGACATCTGAGAGCACGTTGCATCCAATTGGATAATGTTTTAACCAATACAGCTGGAGAGCGTATGTGCTTAATATAAACATAGAGTGTGGGTAATCTATGTGCGGCCAGTAAATTGGAGGGAATTACGTAGATTGTTTATAAGCGGGACGGCAAATTTGAACGATGGGTAGGAGAAAATCGAAAAGGAAGCCCCCATCAAAGAGAAAGGCCATCGAACCACTTGACCAACAGTTCAATTGTCCATTCTGCAACCACGAGAAGTCCTGTGATGTTAAAATGTAAGATACTCATTCAAACCTTCCACCCACGCATTCGAGGTTAAGTTGTCAATTGATTAATTTGTTTCCATTGTGCAGGGACAAGGGTCGAAACACAGCCAGGATAACATGTCGGGTGTGTCTGGAGGACTTTCAGACAACAATAAACTTCCTGTCGGAGCCTGTTGATGTCTACAATGATTGGATTGATGCCTGTGAATCTGCCAATTGACTTATTCACCTTACATTAAGTGTTTCTTTTTCCTATTTAGTTTAGTCAAAATTTAGTCTCTGTTTTTTTTCTTTTGTTACATTTATAGTTTAATCTTTAGTAAGTGTATATTTCTATTGGTTTTGATTTGCTAACAAACTGGATTTGTTGTAGTTAGGTGAAACTTTTGATATATATATATATGTATGTAAACAAAACGCTTTTATTGATGATAATTGATTTATCATTGGTTGTTATTGGAGACAGATGCAATTATTTTTTAATGATTTAATCATTACAGATGCATAATGTATATTTTACTATTTTTGCTAATGACAGAATTGATGTTAGTTTTGCGAAATGTTTCTAACTATGGTTTACAATTTTCATAATTTGTTCTTATGAAAATCCATAACTATTTGATAAGTATAACCAAAAAGTGCAACTAAATATATAGATAGTTAAATGCTTTGAAATATCTGTTGTTTTCTTATATTTTTAACTGTCGTTAGGTTTCCTTCCTAATTAACCATATTCAAGTAGATTACTTAAGTTTTATCTATTAAGGTCGCCCATCCGCTGCTTAACTTTTGTCAACTGTCAAATATTCATGGATGCGCCTCATCCATTTCTGTCTATATTTGAATACAATTTCGACGATTCCTTTCATTTAGAATTACCTAAACAGGAAGTTGAGGCTTAACTATTTAATAAAATGAAACAAAGTATAAGTTAATTAAAATAGTAATAATTACTTAATAAAACAATGACTATTGAAATCTGAAGCTTCAAAATAAAGTTCAATTGGTTGCCTATATTCAATTCTGAAATAATGTTAAATTATGGTTCAGAACAGCGTTTTTCAACCTTTTTGACTGGCGACCCAAGAGAATTTTACTAGTTCTTCGTTTTGATAAAAGGTAATAAATATTTACTTGTTTTGTATTGTTCTCTTTATAAATTTAGTAAATGGAATGAAAAGCCATATAACCATTTTCTTTTCGGTATCCATTGCTTAACTTTTGTCTCCATTTTACTAGTATTTACTTTTATTTAAAATTACCTAAATAGGAAGTTAAGGTTAGTTAATAATTAAAATTCCATGAAAATTTTAAATTTGAATTAAAATCAACTAAAGTTTTATTGGTTACCTATATTCAAACATTAAAATTTCCTGAAATCATGTTCTATATGAGCTAAGTTACGGTTTAGATCAGTGATTCCCAAAGTGTTCTATATCGACCCCCAGGTATCTATAACAGTCTGCAAGGGGTCTACGTCAGCGAAAAAAAAGTTTGGGGGTCCATGAAATAAAAATGGGGGTCCACGATAGTGGATCTCAACATACACTGATAGTACCTATTTACTTACATTCTTACTATCTTATAATATAAAGACATATACATTATTTATAAAAGTGAAGTGAAATTTATGAAGTAAAACATTTATTATATATGTTTATAAAATTGTGTATGTTGTAGGATGTAGGCATTCGCTTTGTGGTCGCAACATATTATGAACTTGTAAAAACCTGCACATAATGATATACCAGTATCATCTTGTTACAAGCATACGCGCAGTCTCAGAGCAAAGAACTTAAACTTAAATTTACAAAAAAATAATATTAGGTAAGTAGGGGGTCTACCCAAAACCGAAAAACATGGCAAGGGGTCAACGACACAAAAAAGTTTGGGAACCTCTGGTTTAGATCAACATTTCTCAACCTTTTTACCTCAACATATTTGTTTGTAGTTGTACATCGACCTAATTTCTAACAGTATTTCACCAGTTCCTCCCCAGTTTTTTTAAACTCTTATTCCTAAACCATACCATGTTCAATATGTATATTAGAAGAAGTAATAGTATCTACTTTAATTATGAGGTAGCACTTTAAATAGCTATTGATCCGGTGGCAATCCCAAGCCCGTCTATCGAAATCCCGACTGTATCGAAATCCCGTCGTTCGAAATCTCGACTATATCGAAATCCCGACAGTGTCTTTTATTATTATAAATTTCTACAATAACATTTTTATGGTTGTCGGGATTATGGTAGTCGAGATTTTGACATAGTAGGGATTTTAAGCGTCGGGACTTTAATACAGACAGGATTTCGGTTGTCGGGATTTCAATAGACGGTCTTTCGGTTGTCGGGATCGCAACCCCTATTGATCACTAAGGGAAATATAAGTGCTTGAGTTCTGGCAACTTTTTATTTTCGGTGCTTAGCGACTTCGACAATAGTTTTTTTGGGGAATGCTTCACCTTTGATCATCCATAACTTTTCTAAGCTGTCAAAAATGTCAAATTTATCTTACAATCACGTCGTTATTAATTATTTTCAGAATTGAAAAACAATATATTAACCAGATAAAAAGAAACATAAATCCAACATAAACATAAGAAAGTATAATGGAACTCCAATATTTGTCTTTTTTCATATTCGTCCGTAAAACCAAGCCGGTCGGCTCAATCTTAAGCGATGTGTGTATTAATTCTAACAGGACAAGAAATTTTGATATTCGTCCTTTTTTAATATTCGTTCTCGCCTCAGCAACTGATTAATGATGTATGATTTATATTATTAAGATAATTAATAGCAACAATTCTACATAATTAAGTAAAGTAAAAGTTTCGAATTTCTTCCATCAGAATTGATTTTATTTTAATAACATACTTAACATATTTATTGTGCTCATTTACAATAAACTTACAATTTATCCGATTACAAGTATAACATTCTAAAAACCGGCTCTGACCTAACCTGTATCAAACATAAACAGTGCTATTTTTTTATTATACCATTTAACATTGTCAGAACTGAAACAAGTGTACATTTTCTTCCTAACAACCCTTAGAAATAATTTAACAAAAACATATCACACTTTTGTAATTTGACTGATTTGATTTCATTTACAATATCATTTAAAGGGATTCCGGATAATAGGGCGGTTGGAACCGGTTGAATAAGGTTAGAATGCTGAAAAGAACAACACCGAGGATCAGCAAATAGTTGGATGGTGATGAGGAAACATCCGAAGATGAGCCTTTGTTGCATCCGCTTTCGCGGCAGCAGAACAAGCAGAAGTACTCTTTTCTGCTACGGTCGCACGTATCCAAACCAAGACCTGAAATAGAAATTACGTTAATATTTTTTTTTAACAAAAATTATAAAGAAAATGCTTACCTTTACTTGCCATAACGTCGTTGAAATTGCACGGACCCAATCCGCATTCCCTTTTTATCTTGAAACCGTCAGTATCTGTAAGTAAAAACACAAAATTATTTAGAATTAAATACATTCAACAATTATTTATAACAATTTCAATAATAATTTAGATCAACGTTTCTCAACCTATGGGTTGCATAATGACAGTTGTCACCTTGTGTCAAAGTTGAAAAGTATTTTGTAAAAACTGAAAGGTTGATGAACGCTGAGTTTGTCACATCAACTGCTTATTTATTACATATTAAGTTATCTATTGTTTTAAAGTGTTGTTTAGGAAGTCGGCAATCCCTTTGGAGTAAATATACATTTTTAATATATGTCCTGTTTAGAAAAAGGATCAAATAAATCCATACCTCCTTTACGTTGACAGTATATTTCATATAACAATTCAATTATTTTCATATAATTTTCATATAAAGAACGGCCTTATAGCGAAGTATACGTCTATTTCTGACGACAACGCTGAGAGCCGCGGGTTGCCGACCTCTGGTATAGTTGGGATGAATTTCTTGTAGAACTACATTTCAATTTTTTACCGCGATACTGGGACTCGCGGGTTGCCGACTTTCAGTGTTATAATTAGTTGACTTTGTTTACCCTGAAGATATATATTTTATAACATTTTAAAGAAAACATTATTTGTTGTCTTCTAATTTATTTATCGATATTTAACTATAAATGAATGTACAGTGATATCGACCAAGCCGGTTTTAATAGCTTAAGAGCTTTACATCAAATTACTCCCAAATTTATTGCACCCTCGGGATTTGCAGCATGCCATAAATTCGAGAACACTTTAATTTATTTAAGATCTTTGTCTACATTTATTTACTTTTCTTGTAGTTTCAGATAATTTTGTTGCAAACTGTTGTAGATATTATCACATTCTTTTTTAAGATTACATAATGCATGTTATTTGAGATAAAGACTATCGACTGATGATTAGAATTTTTCAGTTACATAATTCAAATAGATAAATATAAACATAGATAAGCATTTATTTGAATATCTCATAAATGACAAATCTGGTGAAGGGGATTATGTATAGTAACATTAACAGATGTCGCTATGTTAGCTCGTTTGTACATTTAAGTTTATACCTGCATCTTTACTAGTCAATTTTTTCCAGTTTTAAGTTAAGATCATACTTCACAGGATCATTTCTGTAGTGTATTTTCACAACACATATCACAAATGTGACATGTATACAAACCACGATGACGAGTTGTAGTTCTGCTATCTGAGCGTGAGGCAGAAGTCTTTGGATTCTTCTGGAACTGAAGCTTCATCGATGACCGTTCGCTTTATTTCTTCGAAATTTAGTGAAGGATAGTAGAACATTCTGAGTGGCTTTTTTATAAAATCTAAATATAATTTGTTTGTACGATTAAAGATTATTTTAATCAGCTTTTTTTTCTTTGGACTTTCATTTTTAGAAGTTCTTTATTTTGAAGATTATTTTTGTTGGTCTTTCGATAATCTATGTCAAAAATTATTGGATTAAACATTTTTCAAATGAAGTTCTTGAAGATATCTCATGTAACAATACTTTTTAATCATATGGTAATATAGATAATTGAGTAACCAGTTTATGTAAGGTGCCGTCGTAACAAAACAGCAACGTTTCTTTTGTCGTGGACTACCATTTTATTATATTTCACGTAGCCGTCAAATATACAAACGGATACTTGTACGTGATTATTTAGAATAATTTTTGAAATATTCCGAAGAACGGATACACTTAAGAAGGGAATGTATCTCTTAGTTAATAATATATGAGATCAACACTTGTATAGTTGACTTCTCAATAAAAACACTGACATGTACAATAAAACTAATTAAGAATACTGCATTTAATATTCATAAGCACCTCTAAGATTTCACAATGATATAATTACGGTGTCTAAAGATTTTTAATCCCGGGATACAGTATTTTATTAACGCCTGTGTTCAATTTTAAGACGATTAATGCTCAATCCTACAAGGTTTGCATTTGTTTGTTATATGTTCATAAATAGTTTATGAAAATGGTAAGTAAACATTTTATGAGAAATTTTGCGAATTCTCATCAATAGATGTCGCCTTTCTATGCTCGTTTGTTAGTTTAGGTTTGTACTTGCACATTGCGTGGTCATTTTTTTCCAGTTTTTAGTTAAGATCATACTTCACAGGATCATTTCTGTAGTGTATCTTCACAACACATATCACAAATGTGACGTGTATACAAACCACGATGACGAGTCGTAGTTCTGCTATCTGAGCGTGAGGCAGAAGTCTTTGGATTCTTCGGAATCCGAAGCTTCATCGATGACCGTTCGCTTTATTTCTTCGAAATTTAGTGAAGGATAGTAGAACATTCCGAGTGGCTTTTTTTATTAAATTTAAATATAATTTATTTCTAATATATAGTCGTTTTTTGATGTATGTTCTATAGTTTTTCCTCTTTAGAAGTTCTTTATTTTGAAGATCACATTTATTTATAGCTTCCATCGATTCTAAATTATTGACTGATAGTATTTTCTATTGATGTTCTTGAAGACGTTTCTTACCAAAGACTTAAACATCGTGATATATCATTACAAATTATATGTTAGAAACTACAGATGAGTTAAATTAAATCTGACATAACTTCAATATAAAACAAAGAGTAGTATACAAAAATGGTTATGAGTCTTTTGTGTTATCTAATTTTCTCCGTTGACTGGACCATTTCCCAATCTACAAAATTTTCATGTGGTAGTAAGTGTTAAGGCAAAATTACTGAAATATGTCAATTTCATATGTTTCAATTTTTAATAGTTGATTAATGTGGTAAAAATTTCAACTGAAAATATGTGAATTTTAGTCAATAGATGTCCCTTTTTTGTGCTCGTTTGTACATTTAGGTTTATACCTGCGCCTTTACCTTTCAATTTTCAATCTTTACCATCATTTAATTTTAAATTAAGATCATACTTCACAGGATCATTTCTGTAGTGTATCTTCACAACACATATCACAAATGTGACATGTATACAAACCACGATGACGAGTA